TCAGTGGCTCCTGGGAGCTATGTGACTGGGGTGTCTCACCTGATCCCCTGAGCCTCACAGTCCTTCTCTGTAATACAAGGTGGCAATCGCAAACGCCTAGACAATCCCCAGGTATGGCATTCTAGGATTCTGAGCTTGACCCCTATATCCCTTTACTGGCTTAATTAATGAGAGTTCTATTTAACAAGTACACTCCATGTACCTTCTGACCTCGGAGGCTCACCTCTCCAGGCAGAGCCTGGTAATTTGCTCAGGGGGCTCTACAAGACTATGGGGCATGGGGGAGCAGCAAGGATCACAGGCAGAAACTAGTTTTTCCTAAACTAGAAGGTCAGAGGAAGCACTGTTATAGTTCTGCACTGTCTCCTGAGTCCTGTCAGCTGTCTTCACAGGCCTAAGTCTCCTGGGTGTGGTTCCCAGGAGGGTCCTGGACAAACATGGGCTAAGAACCTCCGCCTCCTCCCCCTCAGGATCATGCAATCACAGTCAGTCTGGGCTTTGCTCCAAGATCCCAGCCCCACATGGAAGAGGTCCAGAAGGCCTGGAGAATAGGACAGGGATCTGGAGTGGATCCCAGCAGGGCTGAGCTCCCTAAACAGCCCTGGAACCCTAGCTGCAGGGGCTGGGAATGAAAGTAGGTAGCATAACCTTACCATAGAAAGGTTTGTCAGGAGACTGAAAAACTGAATGGATGGATGGATGAATCGGTACGTGGGTAGGTGGGTGCATGAATGGGTGGATAGTAGATAGATGGATGGATGGTGGGTGGATGGATAGATGGTGGATGGAAGGATGGTGAGTGAATAGATGGGTAGATGCAGATGGTAGATGGATGTTGGGTGGGTGGATGGATAGATGGTGGATAGATAGATGGATGGATGGTGGGTGTATAGATAGTGGGTGGATGGATGAATGATGGATGGATGGGCAGGTGGGTGGCTAAATGGATGGATGGTGGGTAAGTGGATGGGTCGATGGATGGGAGAATGGGTAGATGGATAAATGGATTCATGATGGGTGGGTGAATGGGTGGGTAAATGGATGGTGGATGGATGGTGGGTGGATGGATGGATGGTGAATGGGTGGGTGGATGGATGGATGATGGATGGAAGGGTGGGTGGGTGGGAATGGGTGGTAAATGGATGGATGGATGGTGGGTGGATGGATGGATGGTGAATGGGTGGGTGGATGGATGGATGATGGATGGAAGGGTGGGTGGGTGGCAGTTTCCAATGGATGGATGGATGGTGGGTAAGTAGATGGGGGATGGATTGGAGAATGGGTAGATGGATAAATGGATCTGCGATAGGTGGGCGATGGGTGGGTATATGGATGTAGGATGGCTGGTGGGTGATGGATGGAGGGAGGATAGTGGGTATGTGGAATGGGTAGGTGGGTGGATGGATGGATGGTGGATGGGTGGATGGATGGATGGATGATGGATGTGAAGGGGTGGGTGGGTGGTAACTCAATGGATGGATGAATGGTGGTAAGTAGATGGGGATGGATTGAGAATGGGTAGATGGATAAATGGATTCATGATAGGTGGGCAGATGGGTAAGTATATGGATAGTGGATGGCTGGTGGGTAGATGGATGGGAGGGAGGGATAGCGTATGGGTAACGGGTAGGTGGGTGGATGATGGATGGTGGATGGGTGGGTGGATGGATGGATGCGGATGGAAGGTGGGTGGGTGGGTGCTCAATGGATGGATGGATAGGCAAGCAGATGGGGGGATGGATGGAGAATGGGTAGATGGATAAATGGATTCAAGTGGAGGGCGGGACAGATGGGTGAGTAGATGGATGGTGGATGGATGGTGGGTGGATGGATGGATGGTGGGTGGATGGATGGATGGTGGGTGGCTGGCTAGGTAAGTGGTGGATGGGTGGGGTGGACGGATGGTGGATGGGTGATGGATAGGTGGATGAATGGTGGGTAGATGGGTGGATGGATAGTGAGTAGATGAATGAATGATGGATAGATGGATGGTGAGTAGATGCATGAATGGATGGATGGTAGATGAATGAATGATTAGATAGTAAGTAGACGATGGATGAATGGATGGATGGTAGATGGGTGGATACACTAATAAAATAATAACCTGGAGCCTAAATAAAAGGAAATTAGAATAGTAAAGGGATTTATTTCTTCCAAGAGGAATCCCAGCAACTCTTCTTTTCTTCTAAAGGAAAGTACTGAGATCGTGGTCATCTGAATAATCCATGGGAGAAAGTACCACACTGAGTCTTGTGTCATCAACGAAAAACAGAACTCTTCAGAAGGAGCCACCCTTGGCTGTTTGTGTTTTATTCGATTCCCCAGAGTGGCCTACCTGGTACTGTGGCAGGGATCTTAAAAATCACATATTTTGTCTTCCCCTTTTCCACAATGGATGTGCCCATGTTGAGAACATTTCCAGCCTCATCATAATGGGGATGTGACGTTGCCAGATTTACCGCCACGTATTTACGATAATCAACCTGCAAGATATGACACCTCCTGTTTTTTTTTTAAGTATTTACGATAATCAATCTGCAAGATATGACATCAACTGGTTTTTCAAAGGAGAAAGGTTGAAATCCTGTGAAAACGTGACTGATTCTAGGTTCAGAGAGATGAGGGATATTTTTGCACATCTGAAAATGATACAGAATTTGCTTTTAAAGACTTTCATTCTCGTGACCTGATACGACTTCACATGGGGATTTGAGGGACTCAGACAGTTAACAGGTTGCAGGGGAGTTAGGGAGCTGGTATGCTTCTGGGGCTATCATTGCAATCCTGCTGCTTGACCTTGCTGGAATCCTCAACATGGAAACAAGATTCCTCACTGCAGAAAGATCTGAGCAATGACCTGGGCAGAGAGGTAGCCTTCGAGCTACTCTTGGCCACAGCTCTGTCATTCTGGCTTAAATTCTGCCGTTTTGCATTGCATAGAAGCATAAATCTCTAGGCCTCTCTTAGAGGATTATTCTGGGAAGGGAAAGGTTACAAAAACACTTGGTCAAAGTGAAGCTCGATGAACGAGCTGAATAATCACCCTTACTCTGCAATCCACAGCTGCAGAATAATGGAGCGGCCGCAGACGAACCGTCTGCCCTTCCTTCCCTAGAAATATACAACCTCCAGCCCAGAGTCAGATAACCCCATTCTCTTCCAGCATTTCCTCTCTGTAGCCTTGTGGAAAGTGTCATCAGTTGGACTGATGCCATCTAGCTTAAAAGCAGCTGGACATAATTTCACAGCTAAGAAAAGCCTCATCTCTTTAACAGATCGTTAAAACGTATTGCGGAGACATCAGACTTTTGAACAGCCAGTTGGAGAAAATTGAAAGTGGGTCTATTGATTTTCACCAAAATGTTGACTTGATTCTTCCCAGGAAACGTATGTGCTTGCTTATTTTTGTGCCCTCGCTTTTTGCCTAATCCCTCCCTCTTCAGGTCAATAGAAGGTAGGATTTCGCTGAGAATCGCAGGTGTTTCAACAGAGTCGTTCATTCAAATTCTCACTGAACTCCCTCAGTACCAAGAATTATGAACACAGTTGCGGGTTGAATTGTGTCTTGCAAAAAGACAGGTTGAAGTCCTCACCCCAGGTATCTGCGAATGTGATCTTACTTGGAAATAAGGTCTTTATAGATGTCATTAAATTAAGATGAGGTCATACTGCAGTAGGGTAGGCCCTAATGTAATGACTTGTGTCTCTGTAAAAGGCAGAACATGGTTGGGCACGGTGGCTCACACCTGTAATCCCAGCACTTTGGGAGGCCAAGGCGGGCTGATCATGAGGTAAGGAGATCAAGACCATCCTGGCTAACACGGTGAAACCCCGTGTCTACCAAAAATCCAAAAAATTAGCCAAGTGTGGTGGTGGGTGCCTGTAGTCCCAGCTACTCAGGAGGCTGAGGCAGGAGAATCACTTGAACCCGGGAGAAGGAGGGTGCAGTGAGCTGAGATCGCGCCATTGCACTCCAGCCTGGGTGACAGAGCGAGACACTGTCTCAAAAAAAAAAAAAAAAAAAAAAAAGAAAAGGCAGAACATTTGGACACACAGACCTGTAAGGAGAGGCAGTGTGAAGACTGAGGCAGAGGCTGGAGGGATGCATCTACAAGCTGAGGCACACCAGGGGTTGCTGGCAACCACTAGAAACCAGGAAGGGGCCAGGGAGAATCCTCCTCTACAGCCTTTAGAGAGAGCATGGCCCTGCTGACACCTTGGTTTCAGACTTTTAGCCTTCAGAATTGTGGCACAGCAAATTTCTGTTTTTTTTTTTTTTTGTGGTTGTTGTTTGCTTGCTTTTGTTTTTGTTTTGAGACAGTCCCACTCTGTCATGCAGGCTGGAGTGCAGTGGTGCAATCTGGGCTCACTGCAACCTCCGCCTCCCGAGTTCAAGCCATTCTCCTGCCTCAGCCTCAGAGTAGCTGGGATTACAGGCACATGCCACCATGCCTGGCTAATTTTTGTATTTTTGGTAGAGATGGAGTTTCACCATGTTAGCCAGGCTGGTCTTGAACTCCTGATCTCAGGTGATCCGCCCATTTTGGCCTCCCAAAGTGTTGGGATTACAGGCGTAGGTCACCACGCCCGGCCAATCTCTGTTGTTTAAAGCAAACTTTTTTGTAGGACTTGGTTACAGCAGCCCCAGGAAACTGAAACAGACACAAAGATAAAAACAACACAGTTCTTGCCTAGCATCTAGCACTAAGTGTGGCGCTAGGGCACGGGATCCCACGGTGTTAGAGGAGGGCCCCTCTGGTGAGCTCCCTGCAGGCTGAGCAGCCTCAGCCCGGCCGTCCCCGACCCTCCCTTTCTTGAGTCAGGAAGTGATGCTGGGTTACTTATGTGTTGATACCTTCTCCAGGGTTTCCAGAGTCTGTGGGTTGATTTTCCTGATGTAATTGGTCTCTGAGGTCGCATAGAAGTCTTCTCCGCACTTCATGATGTTGATCAGGCAGTTGTCTGTGAAATCGGGGATGGTGTGAGACAAGTAGGTGAAAGCTCTGGGGAGAAAAGCAAATCAACAGAGTCAGTGGCTGTGTCCACCCAGTCAGAGGAGTCTGTCCTTGATGGCTTTAGTTTTCCTAAAACGTAAAAATGCTTTACGTCAACTAAGAAAGATAAAGCAACTGGGTTCCAATGGGTCACTTGAGGTATCCTAAGAACTCAGATATCAAGTTCCCCAAAGACACCCCCAGGTTGAGTCAGCTAAGAAGTGAGTCAGCCAGAATGCCATGGTCACCCGCTGATCCCTCTTGGGCTCCCTAAAACCCAAAGGTCTCCGACATCAGAGCCAGCAAGACATACTGTTCCAAAGCGTGTCAAGAAGCTCTACGGAAATCATACTTGAACCCATAACGGCTCCCAAAGCCTAACAAGGCAGCTGATAATGGCTTTGCCAGGAACGTGAGTCCACACTGGTTATCTCGAATTTATCCAGGAAATTAGTTTTTAATTTAAAAAGGAAAACAAACTAATTATGAGTTAAGAACACATAGCTCATTTGCTCGGAAGGTACACTCAAAGCAAGAAGAAAGAAAAACCAGAGGGGTTTATCGGTGGTGAAATTGGCAAATCCTGGATCGGTTTACTGGGGAGTGCTCCTCCTACTGGCAAATACTGGAACAACAAGGAAGATTGGTTCCAGGACCTCCAGGTCATCGTTTTAAATTCGTGATTATGGTATCTCCCCTACCAGGTAAGTATGGTTGTTTTAAATTCGTTTACTCCTTCCTCCTCCTTTCCCACTGGCTCCTGCCCCACACTTCCTATTTGCAAATGTGAATTCAGTGCTTGCTCTGAGCCAGCCCAAGAGCTGGATACTGGAATGGGAGAGATGGCTTCAGTTCTCAAAAAAGCAGAAGCAATCTTCCATCTCTGGGCCAGTCTACCCTTCAACCCTTTCGTAACTCTTCTATGTCTAGAGAGTTTCAGAAAGAAGATACTGATGGCAGGCCTGATTCCCTAGCCAATAATTTAATTGTCAGATATGTAACACATTCTTATGGATCCTAACCCAGATTATTTAAAATGTATGCAGTGGCCAGGTGCAGTGGCTCATGCCTGTAATCCCAGCACTTTGGGAGGCCAAGGTGGGTGGATCACCTAAGATCAGGAGTTCAAGAGCAGCCTGATCAACATGGTGAAACCCCATTCTACTGAAAATATAAAAATTAGCCGGGCGTGGTGGTGGATGCCTATAATCCCAGCTATTTGGAAGGCTGAGTCAGGAGAATCGCTTGAACTTGGGGGGGCAGAGATGATGGTGGACTGAGATTGCACCATTGCACTCCAGCTTGGACAACAAGAGTGAAACTCTGTCTTAAATAAATAAATAAATGAATAAAATGAAATAAAATATATACAGCAAAAAATCTCTCCCTCTCCTCATCACTCATCTGCCCCACGTCCCCTACGCATCCTTTCTTAGTTTCTTTATGCATGTACAAGCAAAATTTAGTCTAGACTTCTTCCTGCTTTTTCACACAAAATACGTCTTATAACATGCTCTTTCTACACCTTCCTTTTTTTTTTTTTTTTTTTTTTTTAACTAAGTCTATCTTGGAAATGTTTCTGCAGAGCACAAAGAGAACATTCCCATTCCTTTTTACTTCTACATGGCATTTTCTTGTACAGTTTTACTGTTATGGATTTAACCGCTCCTCTTTTAATGAACATTTGGGTTGTTTTCAGCTACTTGTTTTAACAAATGATGCAGCCATAAATGACAAATACCTGCTGCATGTGCCATTTTGTATGCAAGCAATAGATCTCTAGGCTGAAGGGAATGTGCCTTTGTAATTTTGACAGATGATTCCAAATTCCTTTCCCACCAGCCATGTGGGAGGGCTTCTAATAATCTGTCAAATGCTCTTAGCTTCTCTGGCAGTCAGTGATCAAGAACTGCACAGCACCTCTGGTTAAAGGGCAGCCATGTGGAGTTTTCATGCACCCTAACGAGAATTGTTAGAGGAGCAAATGCTGGTTATTTCAGCCATCAAGGAGAGCAAAAGGCATGAAATTTGCTCAGATTTAAAACAGGCAGTTACTTGGAAAATATGTTTTTGCAGGGGTCCGGATAGGCCATTGTTCCAAACTCAGACACCACAATCCTGTTTGCCTCAATATTGGCGTTGTAGGTATCACTTCTCAGGTATTTGCTCCTGTAATAGATTTCACCTGCAAGAGAAGAACCAGAATACTCTCAGGCTGACAGCTTTACAGGGCTTTGAAATCAATGTCAGTTAGGGATTTTATTGGGGGAAGGAGGTGGTTATTTCACCAGGACAAGCTCACTTAGTACACAGGGCTGATACAATTAGCATTTGAAATATAATTTTATTTTATTTAATTATTATTATTATTATTCTTTTGAGTTTCCCTCTTGTCGTCCAGGCTGGAGTACAACAGTGCAATCTCGGCTCACTGCAACCTCCGCCTCCTGGGTTCAAGTGATTCTCCTGACTCAGCCTCCTAAGTAGTTGGGATTATAGGCACATGCCACCACACCGAGTAAATTTTTGTATTTTTAGTAGAGATGGGGTTTCACCATGTTGGCCAGGTTAGTCTCGAACTCCTGACCTCAGGTGATCCGCCCACCTCAGCCTCCCAAAGTGCTGAGATTACAAGCATGAGCCACCGTGCCTGGCCTGGAATATAATTTTAGACATACATTTTCTCACTCCTGACTCACAACAGTATGGCCAGATAGGTGAGTGTTATGGTTTCGATGTTTTGTTCCTTCCAAATCTCATGTTGAAGCCTCTGATGTTGGAGGTGGGCCTAGGGGGAGGTGTTTGGGTGATGGGGTGGGTCCCTCATGAATGGCTTAGTGTTGTCGTGGTGATGGGTGAGTTCTCACTCTATTAGTTCATGGAAGATCTGGTTGTTTAAAAGATCCCTCCCTCCTCTCTCTCTCTCTCTTTCACCATGTGACGTGCCTGCTCCCCCTTTGCCTTCCGCCATGAACCAAAGCTTCTTGAGACCCTTGAGACCCTTGCCGGAAGCCAAACAGATGCTGGTGCCTTGCTTCCTGTACAACCTGCAGAATTGTGAGCCAAATAAACCTCTTTCCTTTATAAATTACCCAGTCTCAGGTATTCCTTTATAGCAAGGCAAAATGTGTTAATGCAAAATATACCTGTTCTTAGTTCCATTTTCCATAGGAGGGAACTGAGGCTCGGAAACATTCTATCGCCTTGCCCAGGGTCACCCGTCAGAAAGTGCTGACCAGGAATCATTCATCCCTTCTACCCTGTTTGTGTCCCTCCAGGGAAGGGGCAGAGCTGGAGGACTAATCTAGAAGGCTGCATATGTGGGGTGGGTTTCCCCAGGGCCCCGTTCAGTCCTGGGAAAAGGAAACTAGTACTAAGAGCCACCATTGGTTGAGCACCGGTATGCTAAACACTGCTGGACAATTTATGTGTGTTATCTGGTTTCATACTCAACACTGGAAGCAAGTAGAATACTCCAACTAGAAATGCATTTGCTGGGGAAAAAAAAAAAAAATCGACCATGCGCAGTGCCTTATGCCTGTAATCCTAGCAATTTGGGAGGTAGAGGCAGGTGGATCACTCGAAGTCAGGAGTTCAAGATCAGCCTGGCCAACATGTGGAAACTCCGTCTCTACTGAAAATACAAAAAAAAATTAGCTGGGGCAGTGGGCACCTGTGGTCCCAGCTACTCAGGAGGCTGAGGCAGGACAATGGCTGGAACCTGGGAGACGGAGTTTGCAGTGAGCCAAGATCGTGCCACTGAACACCAGCCTGAGCAACAGAGTGAGACTCAATCTCAAAGATAAATAAATAAATAAATAAAGGCATGGTGGCTCAGCCTTTATTTATTTATTTAATAAATCCTGTAATCCCAGCACTCTGGGAGTCTGAGGCAGGCAGATCACAAGGTCAGGAGTTTGAGACCAGCCTGGCCTATATGGTGAAACCCTGTCTCTACTAAAAATACAAAAATTAGCCAGGCATGGTGGCGGGCACCTGTAGTCCCAGCTACACGGGAGGCTGAGGCAGGAGAATCGCTCAAACCCAGGAGGCAGAGGTTGCAGTGAGCTGAGACCACGCCACTGCACTCCAGCCTGGGCGACAGTGAGACTCTATCTCAAAAAAAATAAAAAATAAAAATAAAAATAAATAAATAAATAAATAACATAAAGTCATTTGTTAATTAGCAGCAAAATAAAGCAAGATCTAAACAGTGCTTACAGGTTCCAACTTTTTTACCAAATGAAGTACAAAGGTCTTGGGTACTCACAGCCCTGCAGACTCATTTCCCAGCTAATAAAATTGTGGCACAGAGAGGTTAAGCAGCTTGTCTTAAGCCACACAGCTAGCGAATGGTAATCTGGATTCGAAGGCCAGAAATGAGCATCTAAAGCTGGCCCTCTTAACCAAGATCCTAACACAGCAAGAACAATCAGTTTGACTATTCTGTCGGCACCTTGCAATTGAAATCACTCCTACAGAAATGTGCAGCTTGATGAGGTCCAGCCTGTTTCTGTTTCACAAAAGGGACCTACCCACCCAAACTACATCCTGATCAAGAAACAGGACCTGGGGCCAGGTGCAGTGGCTCATGCCTGTAATCCCAGCAGTCTGAGAGTCCCGGGGGGAGGATCACTTGAGCCCAGGAGTTCAAGACTAACTTGGGCAGCATGGCGAGACCCCATCTCTGCAAACAATACAAAAATCAGCGGGGCGTGGTAGTCCCAGCTGCTCAGGAGGCTGGGGCGGGAGGATCACTTAGCCTGGGAGGTCAAGGCTACAGTAAGCCAAGATTGCACTGCTGTACTTCAGCCTGGGTAAAGGGGCAAGACCCTGCCTCAAGAAAAGAAACAGGACCACAGCAGGCCCCTGAACGCTAGCTTCATATATCCACCTGGTCACTAGCCTCTTCCCTCTCCAGGGTAACCGCTATCTTGACTTTAAAGAGTTTCAATTTGTTTTGTTCTTGGGGTTGTGTTTCCATGTCCATTGCCAAAGGATTTGAATGTACATTCCAGTGGCAATGACTCCCACCTGTGCACTTGGATGGACATAATGACAATAATAGTAACACTAATTATAAGAAAATTGAGGGGAGGCATGGTGGCTCAGGCCTGTTGTCCTGGCACATAAGAAGGTGAGGCTAGGTGTTCGAGACCAGCCTGGGCAATGTAGGAAGCCCTCATCTATTAAAAAAAAAAAAAAAATGCTGGGTGTGGTGGCTCATGCCTGTAATCCCAGCACTTTGGGAGGCAGAGACGGGCGGATTACCTGAAGTCAGGGGTTCGAGACCAGCCTGGTCAACATGGCGAAACCCTGTCTCTACTAAAAATACAAAAAAAAGAAAAAATTAGTCGGACGTGGTGGCATGCACCTGTAGTCCCAGCTACTTGGGAGGCGAGACAGGAGAAATGCTTGAACCCTAGAGGCAGAGGTTGCAGTGAGCCAAGATTGCACCATTGCACTACTGCCAGGGTGACAGAGGGAGACTCCAGCTCAAAGAAGGAAAAAAAATACAATAAAATAAATTGAGGGACATCATGAAAGAGCTGCTAGTTCCTCCTCCAGTCTTCAGGAGGTTATCTGTGTTCCTAAGAGACAGACAATCATCCACCCTTTACGCAGACATCTTTCCAGGAGTGGTTACTGTGTGAATAATTGTTACTGAGATATTTCTTTCTTCTTTCTTTGTGAGACAGGGTCTTGCTCTGTCACCAGGCTAAGTGCAGTGGTGCAATGACAGATCACTGTAGCCTCAATCTCCCAGGCTCGAGTGAGCCTTCCACCTCAGTTTCCCAAGTAACTGGGACTGTAGGCACGTGCTACCATGCCTGGCTAATTTTTGTTTTTTTGTAGAGATGGGATCTTGCTATATTGCCCAGGCTGGTCTTGAACTCCTGGACTCAAGTGATCCTCCCGCCTTGGCATCCCAAAGTGCTGGGATTACAAGCGTAAGGCACCATGCCCAGCTTCACTGAGATATTTCTGTAGGGGGAAATTTATTCCTGGGCAGCAGAAAGAAATATGGAGGAACGGTTAGGAGCCTGAGCTTTGCAGCTGACCAGACCCTGAGTTCATGCTTTCAGCCATGACTTATTAAGTGCCCTGATGGGCCAGGAGTGAAAATACAACAATGAGCAGAACGGCCAGGATTCCTGTTGCTAAGGAGGCTCAATCTCCACATGGATATGAATCCTGGCTTCATCATGTACCAACCATGCACTTGACCTTGGTCAGAGTCAAGAATCTGTCCCCTCCACTGTGACATGAGGATCGTGACACATTCCTTGCAGAGTCATGTGACATTTGAGGCTTGCAAAGCACTGTGCACAGAGTAGGTGCTCAAGAAAAGCTGTGTAGAGTATTGAGATGCAGTAGACAGAGTGATCAAGGCTGCGGCTCTACGTTTCATCTCATCCAGGTTGGGTGACCTTGGACAGGTCTCTTAATCTCATTGAGCCTCGGTCTCCTTGACTGGAAGTTGGGAATCACATAGTCCTCCCCTTCTAGGTGGGCAGTTTTATCATTTTTATTTTTTATTTTTGAGACGACATCTTGCTCCGTCACCCAGGCTGGAGTGCAGTAGTGCAATCTTGGCTCACTGCAACCTCTACCTCCTGGGTTCAAGCAATTCTCCTGCCTCAGTATCCTGAGTAGCTGGGATTACAGGTGCCTGCTGCCATGCCTGGCTAATATTTGTATGTTTAGTAGAGAGGGAGTTCCACCATGTTGGGCAGGAGGGTCTTGAACTCCTGACCTCAAGTGGTGAGGTGGGCAGTTTTAAATGAGATGAGGTGATGTAAGGTGTTCTGCGCGTTGACTCACAGCATGCACTTGGTAAACAAAGGCTGTTGAAACTGCATTGTCCAAGAAAATCCGGGTGGCAGGCGGACTCACCTGCGGGTGAGCAAGGCCACGCATACTCACTGGTCCTCAGCTACATGCTGCACGGAGACAGAGGCCCACTTAAGGCCACCCTGATCTCCCCCTTGAGCCAGCCTGCCTTTCACTGGTTACTCTTGCTGGGAGTCACCACCCACAAAGCATTGGCCAAGGTGCTTCACCTGAAATGTTGAATTCTGTTCACTTGAAATATTGACTGGGTGCTGTGGCTCATGCCTATAACCGCAGCACTTTGGGAGGCCAAGGCAGGTGGATCACCTGAGGTCAGGAGTTCAAGACCAGACTGACCAACATGGTGAAACCCCGTCTCTACTGAAAATATAAAAATTAGCTGGGCATGGTGGCAAGTCTGTGCAATCACAGCCACTTGGGAGGCTGAGGCAGGAGAAATGAGCCTGGGAGGTAGAGGATGCAGTGAGCTGAGATCACACCACTGCAATCCAACCTGGTGACAGAGCGAGACTCCATCTTGAGAAAAAAAAGAAAGAAAGAAAGAAGGAAGGAAGGAGGGAGGGAGGGAGGGAGGGAAGGAAGGAAGGAAGGAAGGAAGGAAGGAAGGAAGGAAGGAAGGAAGGAAGGAAGGAAAGAAGGAAGGAAGGAAGAAGGAAGGAAGGAAGGAAGGAAGGAGAAAGAAGAAAGAAGAAGAAAGAGAAAAGAAAGGAAAAGAAAAGAAAAGCACCCAGGCTGGTTGGTGGACAGGCTGCCCATTTCCTATCAACATCCAGCCCCAGGGCATGGAGTGCCTGGTGACCACAGGAAAATGTGTGTCTGGAATTACTCAAGGCTGACCCTGGACTTTGAGGTTGAGATTAAAGAAGGAGCCTGCATGCATTCCCCAGCAGCCTGCTTTCGGGAGAGCCCAATTAGCCACATTCCTTCTGAAGGGACATACGCAAACAGACGTGTTCCTGCCTGGGATCTTCTAGAACTAGGTCAAGTTTGATATTTTGGGGAAGAAGGGAAGATATATATATACATACACACACACACACACACATGTGTATGTGTGTATATATAAAAGCAAACTTTCCAGTGTTCCAATCCTGATGGGACAATTACTTTGTCCATTAATTTTATTGGAAAATTAACAAATATCATAAATGAGGGAGACTTAAAATCACTCTATGCCTGCTTTATAAATCTCTATGCCTGCTTTATAAGAACTTTTTTCTTTGAAATAATTTTAGATGTACAGAAAGGAGTGTTCTTGTACCCTTCACCCAGCTTCTCCCTCTGTACTCTGCTTTTTTGGTTCACATCTTTGATATTTTAAAAATGTTTTTATTTAAAACTTTTTTTTTGGATAAGGTCTCACTCTGTCACCCAGGATGGAGTGCAGTGGTGTGATCTCAGCTCACTGCAGCCTCTGCCTCCAAGGCTCAAATGATCCTCCTGCCTCAGTCTCCTGAGATGCTGGGACTATAGGTGTGCACCTCCATGCCTGGCCAATTTTTTGATTTTTTGGTAGAGACCAGGTCTCACTATGTTACCCAGGCTTGTCTTGAACTCCTGGGCTCCAGGGATCCTCCCACCTCAGCCTCCCAAAGTGCTGGGATTATAGGCGT